CAATATTTCATTTACTGCTTAGAGGGGGAGCTGCCCAGAGAATCAATCCTGGACAAGCATCCAGGAGACAGGGGAGCTGGGGAGACCCAGGAGCTATTTTCTGGAGAAGCTCTGAGCACCAGAGGAGGAGGCAGGAGGCGGAGACCCAGAGAAGGTGGCCAATTGCTGAAAGCTGCTCTAGGCCTCGTCTGAGTTCTGCTGACCCTGACAGCAGCTCCAGGACCCCTAAGGGCTAGGAGAAAGTTCCAGGGGTCCAGAGGCCACACCACCCCAGCTAGCTGTGTTGTTGCCCATGCGCTGGTTCCTTCTGCAATTATTTATGTGGGTGCCCCCCAGACAAAACTGTAGGTTAGATGCTGTTATAAGGTTATTTTCACACGTGATGATGGTATATTTGAGAAGTGGAACTGGAGGTGTGAGTTCCTCACTCCCTTCCAGATAATAAATCTTAGAATCCTACAAATGAGGTGATAATAAAGTGGAAGTGAAAAGTCTACACATGTTTGGAACTGGAAGGGGTTGGAAGGGATACTGAGAAGGGGCAGCTGGGACTGGGGGACAAAGGGGCCAGAGGGCTACCTACCCCATGCTCTCTATTCATTTGTGCCATCTGCCAAAATTGCGAATCAACGCCACAGAATGGCCACTCCCATTACGCAGCTAGAAACACTAAGACCCGGAAAGGAAACCAAAGTTGACTGGGGTGGCTCAGGGCAGAGCTAGAAAAGGAGATAGCAGGACCCAGTGGACACACAGGAAGTGAAGACAGAAGAACTGGGTTCAGCTGGGCACAGTAGCTCACACCTGTAATCCCAGAACTTTGGGAGGCCAAGGCGGGTGGATCACTTGAGGTCAGGAGTTTGAGACCAGCCTGGCCAACACGGTGAAACCCCTGTCTCTACTAAAAAGACAAAAATTAGCCAGACATGGTGGTGCATGCCTGTAATCCCAGCTACTCGGGAGGCTGAGGCAGGAGAATCACTTGAACCCGGGGGGCGGAGATTACGGTGAGCCAAGAACGTACCACTGCCCTCCAGCCTGGACAACAGAGTGAGACTCCATCTCAAAAAAAAAAAAAAAAGAATTGGGTTCAAGCCCTGATCATGCTCAGTGTTTCAGGAAAAGACACTTTAATCTCTGTGAGCCTCAGTTTCCCCTTCTACAAAATGCAGCTGGATAATTAAATTATCTACTTGAAGGACTGCTGTGGGGCAGCAGATGAGAACCTGTTTTGGAAGTAACCAAGCACAATGCAACTGCATTTTATTAGTACAAGCTAAGTTTCCTGAGCCTCAGGATTTAAATTTCTTTTGACTGCGCTTCAATGCTGGGACAGAGAGGATAATCATAGAAGACACCTAGGTTGTTCTCCTCCCCTGAATCTCATCCCAAAGTGAGTGTAGGGCACTAGGGGAGGTTTGGATTGGGGTACCCAGGAGATGGAGCTAAGTACTGAGAATGGAGAGCTCTGAGCCCTCTTGTCTCCAGTGTGGATGTGCTCACTCTTCTGCTCTGTGGCCTCCAATTTGGGGTGAGAGTACAGGGACAGCCCTGAGGCCCTGGCCCTATCTGTTCCTATCTGTTCCTATCTCAACTCATCTCCTTTCAACAAATGTTACTGAACATCTCCTATGGGTAAGGCTCTAGCTTGGCTGAGGATCCAGAGATGAATAAGAAACCATCTAGAATGAGGCGCAGTGGCTCTGTAATCCCAGCACTTTGGGAGGCTGAGGCAGGTGGATCTCTGGAGCCCAGGAGTTCAAAACCAGCCTGGGCAAGATACTGAAACCCCATTTCTACAAAAAATACAAAAACAATAAATTAGCCAGGTGTGGTGGTGCACACCTATAGTCGCAGCTACTCAGGAGGCTGAGGTGGGAGGATTACTTGAGCCTGGGAGGTTGAGGTTGTAGTGAGCCATGATTGCAGCACTACGCTCCAGCCTGGGCAATAGAGTGATCTTTAAAAAAAAACAACAGGCCGGGCGCGGTGGCTCATGCCTGTAATCCCAGCACTTTGGGAGGCCGAGGCGGGTGGATCACGAGGTCAAGAGATGGAGACCATCCTGGTCAACATGGTGAAACCCCGTCTCTACTAAAAACTACAAAAAATTAGCTGGGCATGGTGGCGTGTGCCTGTAATCCCAGCTGAGGCAGGAGAATTGCCTGAACCCAGGAGGCGGAGGTTGTGGTGAGCCGAGATCGCGCCATTGCACTCCAGCCTGGGTAACAAGAGCGAAACTCTGTCTCAAAAAAAAAAAAAAAAAAAACCAACAACAACAACAACAACAAAAAAAAAAAAACACAGAGTTTTGTTCTTGTCACCCAGGCTGCAGTGCAATGGTGTAATCTTGGCTCACTACAATCTCTGCCTCCTGAGTTCGAGTGATTCTCCCATTTCAGCCTCCCGAGTAGCTAGGATTACAGGTGCCCACCACCATGCCCAGCTAATTTTTTTGTTTTTAGGAGAGATGGGGTTTTACCATGTTGGCCAGTCTGATCTCGAACTCCTGACCTCATGTGATCCACCTGCCTCGGCCTCCCAAAGTGCTGGAATTACAGGTGTGAATCACCACAACCAGTCAGAGTAAGATCTTTTCTTTAAAACACAGAAAAAGGAAAGAAAAGGAAAAAGAGGATGGATGTGGTGGCTCACACCTGTAATCCCAGCACTTTGGGAGGTTGAGGCCGGTGGATCACCTGAGCTCAGGAGTTTGTGACCAACCTGGCCAACATGGTGAAACCCCATCTCTACTAAAAATACAAAATTAACCGGGCGTAGTGCTGCACACCTGTAATCCCAGCTACTTGGGAGGCTGAGGCAGAAGAATCGCTTGAACCCAGGAGGCAGAGGTTGCAGTGAGCGGAGATCATGCCACTGTACTCCAGCCTGGGCAACAGAGGGAGACTGTGTCTCAAAAAAAAAAAAAAAAAAAAGAAGGAAAGAAAAGAAAGAAAGAAAGAAAAGAAAAAAGAAACCACCCAGATTGGGAATGGTTGTATGTGGGATTTTAAAAAGAAAGCAAGCTAAGTGTGGTGGCTCATGCCTGTAATCCCAGCACTTCATGAGGCTAAGGCGGGAGGATCTCTTGAAGCCAGGAATTTGAGACTAGCCTGGGTAGCAAAGAAAGACCTTGTCTCTACAAAAAAAATTGTTTAAATTAGCCAGGCATGGTAGCGCAAGCCTGTAGTCTCAGCTCCTCAGGAGTCTGAGTGGGAGGATCACATAAGTCGAGGAGTTCGAGGCTGCAATGAGCTATGATAGTGCCACTGCACCCCAACCTGGGTGACAGCTAGACTCCATTTAAAAAAATAAAAATAATAAAGAAAGAAACCACCCAGAGAACAGCTTCTTCAGGGGATGGGGCTCCTGCCTTTTCCCAGAAGATGAAAGGAAAATTTGAGGGCTCCTTCCCAGGCCTTGAGGGCGCTTCAAAAAACAGAAAAAGAAAAGATTTGTTGTTTTTGTGTTTTTTGTAGAAATGGGGTTTTACCATGTTGCCCAGGCTGGTTTTGAACTCCAGGCTCAAGAGATGCCCCCCCGCCTCGGTCTCCCAAAGTGCTGGGATTACAGGCGTGAGCCACTGCACCTCGCTCTAGATGGTTTCTTATCCATCTCAGGCCTTGCTAATTGTCTGAACCAGAAGAGGACCAGGACAAGTCCTGGCTTATAGGACACAAGAGGTTCCCTGATGACTCCTGGGGACCCAAAACCTGTTAAAATACACATCTCACTAAGACAGGAGACCCTTATGCTGTGAGTCCTCCTTTACTTTTTGTTTTTACTTACCATGGGTAGTGGAGATGGATTCATATCCATGCTCTCCAAATTTCTTGTAGCTTTACAATGACAGCACCTCCGCATAGTTTTCTGGTTTTAACCTCACCAAACCAGCGATGCTATTCTATTGTATAGGGGTCAGTTGGGGTCGAAGGAGGTGAATGAGTTTGGGCCAAGTCATCCAGGTGTTGAATAGTGACTATCAGCCTGATGGCAAGTCTGATGAGGGAGTTTTGCCTCCCCCTTGTATTACATGCCTCAAACCTGCTCATGGTCCCAGTGTGGGGACAGATGTACTGAAGGTTTACTGAAAGTAATGAGCACCTGGCTCTTTGCAGTCTTCAACTATTTGGTTCTAATCAAATGTATAAAAGCTATCCCCTAAATATGCTGGGGATGTTGGAGGGCCTTCATATCCACGCTCTCCTAGGTGAATAAGAAGGGCAGGATATGGGCCCCATTTTATAGATGAGAAAACTGACACTCAGAGAGCTGAAGTGCCTCGCAGTCTCACCACTAGTTAGTGACTGAGCCACAACTGGAAACTCTTCGACTCCCACAACCTCCGGTGTTGGAGATCAGCATGAGGTGGGCCCACCAGGATGCAAGCAGCTGTGGACGATGGAGGCGGTGCCCCCACCGCTGCCGACCCTCACACACAATCATCAGTCATCATGCCTCTGACACTGTCAAAGCCAAGCGATTGGACTTGCCATTCTTGGCGTCTGCTGGCTTTGCCACATCAAGGCTGTTCTTGAAGTTCATTCTTGGGATGGTCCCGAAGACGAAAGAGACGCTGGACAGCGGTTGACAATCTCCTCTTGACAAACTGATGTGAATTTGGCCTACAGAAAAAGCAGGCTGAAACACCTATTGGATGTCTGGTTGCTGCAGCTGGTGTTAAGCCCAGCCCCGGGACCACAGAGACTGGCTGTGGCCCCACGTATCCCAACCCCAGGCTGGCTTCTGCCCGCCACTCTTGTGTAGCCAGCCCCGGAGACACCGCCCGGGAACCTCCAGCCGACAGGAAAAGGAAGTGCGCAAGCGCACTAGGAGCAGCTCCCGCCGTAGTTTGTTACTTAGGAAACAGCCAATCAGGGATCCGGACGCTGACCAATGGGAAGCACGGCCTGGCAGGCCCTGCTAATTTGAACGCTAGGCGCCGGGTGGAGGTTGGCGCGGGTAGGGGAGGGTGTGGGGCGCGCTGTCGTTGGGTGGGTGCTCCTGTCTGTGTTGTGGCTGTGGGACCTGCGAGCCAGCAGCGACGCAAGCGGCGGAGAACCGACGAAGGGTAAGCCCTGGCCCACAGCGGAGCCGACCCCGCGGCGCCCGCTCTTAGTCTCCGACGCGCAGACCCAGCGGCCCCGGACGGGGACCTGAGCCAGGCCTCTTGTGCTGGACGTGAAGGTGCGGCGCGGAGACCGAGCTACCGAGCTCTGCTGCCGCCCCGGCAGGCTCTGCTTGGACCCCTTTAAACAGGGCAGGGAGCGGGGCACTTCCTTACACACCCGTACGGGTGGTCGGGACCCCTCTGCACATCTATGCTGAACCTAGACTGGGCCCGCACATCTGCCACTGGGGCCTGGCCCTCTGTACATCGGCCCGGTGAAAGGTCCTCCTGCTCGCATGTGAGGAAGAATGGGTTTCTTCTGCACACCAGAACTAAAGACCTGGGACTCCTTGCGTGTCAGTGTGGAGTAGCTAAGCCCCTCTCTACCCATCTTTACCGAACCGATCGTAGAGCTTCACATGCCGGTGGTTGTTAACTTAGTTACTGGGGCACGCAGTAAACTTTTTTCTTTTCTTTTCTTCCCTTTCCTTTTTTTTTTTTTTTTTTGAGATGGAGTCTCGCTCTGTCTTCCAGGCTGGAGTGCAGTGGCACAATCTTGGTTCACTGCAACGGCCCCTCCTGAGTTCAAGCAATTCTCTTACCTCAGCCTCCTGAGTAGCTGGGATTACAGGCACCCGCCACCACACCCGGCTAATTTTTGTATTTTTAGTAGAGACAGGGTTGGCCAGGATGGCCTGGAACTCCTGACCTGAGATGCTCCGCCCGCCTCTGCCTCCCAAAGTGCTGGGATTACAAGGCGTGAGCCACGGTGCCTGGCTGAATATTTGATTGAATGAAGGAACAAGTGAAAGAACGTTTGTATGACAGAAGACCAGGCCTCTGTTACTGCTCCTAGGATGCATCTCCCCTTAGCTTTGACCTTTTAGGGGACTGAAGTGACATGGAAAAGATTAAGCCTGGTCTGTGCAACAAACTTAGGGGATTTTATTGAACAGATTGGTTCCTCCAGCATTATGGGAAAATGCCATGTGTCATATAATTCTAACAGTAATGCTAATATTTATTGAGCACTTGTCAGGTTTGAATGAACTCATTTAATCTTCACAAATATATGGGGTAGACACGAGTATTATTTACGATTTACAGGTTGAAAAACTGAGGCTCAGAGAAGCTAAGCCTATTTTAGAGGAGAACAGCTCAATGATATATTGCTTTCTCCAATCTTCTCCCTATTCTATTTCTTCCCCAATCACTGTATCTCATGCTTCAACAAGGACAAAGGTATCCAGTCATCCTCTGCCTATTTCAGTTATTTTAAGATGTTGGTCTTTATATTATTTAACCCAATTATACTTTTTTTTTTTTTTTTTTTTTTGAGACGGAGTTTCGCTCTTGTTACCCAGGCTGGAGTGCAATGGCGCGATCTCGGCTCACCACAACCTCCGCCTCCTGGGTTCAGGCAATTCTCCTGCCTCAGCCTCCTGAGTAGCTGGGACTACAGGCACGCGCCACCATGCCCAGCTAATTTTTTGTATTTTTAGTAGAGACGGGGTTTCACCATGTTGACCAGGATGGTCTTGATCTCTTGACCTTGTGATCCACCCGCCTCGGCCTCCCAAAGTGCTGCGATTACAGGCTTGAGCCACCGCGCCCGGCCTCCAATTATACTTTTTTTTTTTTTTTTTGAGATGGAGTCTCGCTCTGTTGCCGGACTGATGTGCAGTGGCGTGATCTTGGCTCACTGCAACCTCCACCTCCCGGGTTCAAGCCATTCTCCTGCCTCAGCCTCCCGAGTAGCTGGGACTACAGGTACCCACCACCACGCCCAGCTAATTTTTGTATTTTTTTAAATAGTAGAGATGAGGTTTCACCATGTTGGCCATGATGGGCTCTCGACCTCGTGATTCCCCCACCTTGGCCTCCCAAAGTCCTGGGAATACAGGCATGAGCCAGAGGCCCAATTATACCTTTTTTAAAAAGTATACATGTATACTGTCAAAAAAAAAAAGTAGAAGTTAAAAAAAGTATACATGTAGCATATTTTTAGACATTTATAAATTGCTTTTCTACTTGGCCACAAAACAAATCTAAACAATATCAGAGTATTGTATAAAACATATTCTTTCACACAAGTGATTAAGTTATAAATACCATGTTTACAATTTTTTTTTTTTTTTTTTTTTTTTTTTTTTGGAATTAGAGACAAGTTCTCCCTATGTTGCCCAGGCTGGTCTTTAACTCCCGACCTCAAGCAATCCTCCCACCTCAGCCTCCTACAGTGCTGAGATTACAGGCGTGAACCACTGTGTTCAGCCCATGTTAGGACTTTTTTTGGTCTGAGATAGAGTTTTGTTTCTCAGCTCACTGCAACCTCTGCCTTCCAGGTTCAAGTGATTCTCCTGCCTCAGCCTCTGGAGTAGCCAGGATTACAGGCACCTGCCACCATGCCTGGCCAATTTTTTGTATTTTTAGTACAGACAGGGTTTCACCATGTTGGCCAGGCTGGTCTCACACTCCTGACGTCAGGTGATCCACCCGCCTCGGCCTCCCAAAGTGCTGGGATTACAGGCGTGAGCCACCATGCTGGGCCTGAAATTTTGTAAAAATACACTTAAGTCAGTCAAATAGGAAATCATAATTGTAATTAAAAGATAATTAGCATGGAGCAATTTAAAAAATACTATTTATAAAACTTCTGAGATGCAGTTAAAGGAATACTTAGACGGCAATTTGTAGTCTTAAATGCTTATATTAGAACATTTTGTTTAAGAAGCTGAAAGTTAATGAAGCAAATATCAAACTTTAATAAGATAGAACAGCAGAGAACATATGTAGACTATAAAAGAAGATAAGATTGGGCATGGCGGCTCACATCTATAATCCTAGCATGTTAGGAGACCAAGGCTAGTGGACAGCTTGAGCCCAGGAGTTCAAGACTAGCCTGGACAACATGGTGAAACCCCATCTCTACAAAAAAATTTTAAATTAGGGGGTGTGGTGTTGTCTGCCTGTGATCCCAGCTACTCAGGAGGCCGAGGTGGGAGGATCCTTTGAGCCTTAGGAGGTTGAGGCTGCAGTGAGCCATGATTGCGCCACTGCACTCCAGCCTAGGCATCAGAGTGATACTTTCTCAATAAATAAATAAGTTAAAAGCAGAATCAATGAAATAGAGTTTTATCATATAATAGAGATGATTATTTTAGTCAAAAGCTGTATCTTATCAAAGACTAATTAAAAAAACCAAACTTCTGGCAATACTAATAGAGAAATAAAGAAATAAAACACACAAAAAAGATCTTAGGAGCAAAAATAGGGACATACTTCAGTTACAGAAATTAAAAGAGAGAAATGGCAATGGAACATACTTTTTGACAATGCTTTTGGAGAATTTTCTAGGAAAAAACAACTTGCCAAAACTGACTCAAGAAGTTATGGAAATTTTGACTAGATTTAGGACTATTCCATTGAGGAATTCAATTTTCCATAGAGGAAGCTGAATTAGTTTAAAATGTATCTTCACAGGCATGAAAAACCTATACCAAATTCCACCAGAAACTTACAGGCAATTGAAAAAGATGATTCTAATCTTATACACACTCCCTATAAAAAAAGAGAAAATATGTTCAGTTTATTTTCTGATATCAAAAATGACACAAAGAAAATTACAAGTTAGGGCAGGCACGGTGGCTCATGCTTGTAATCCCAGCACTTTGGGAGGCCGAGGCAGGTGGATCACCTAAGGTCAGAAGTTCGAGACCAGCCTGATCAACATGGTGAAACCCTGTCTCTACTAAAAATACAAAAAATAGCCAGGTGTGGTGGCAGGCACCTGTAATACCAGCTACTCAGGAGACAGGCAAAAGAATTGCTTGAACCCAGGAGGCAGAGGTTGCAGTGAACTGAGACCATGCCATTGCACTCCAGCCTGGGCAACAAGAGAGAAATTTCATCTCAAAAAAAAAAAAAAGGAAGAAAGAAAAAAAAGTTAAAAGTTACAAGTCAATCTGTTTTATTAGTGTAGTTGTAAACATCTTAATAAAATATTAGCAATCAGAAATCAATTATGTATTTAATAAATAGATTATGACCAAATTGAATTTATCCCAAGAATGCAAGAATGGTTTAACATTGGAAAATCTATTAATACAATTTACACATTTACAGATTTAAAGAGCAAACATATTCCATTAGGCACAGAAAATTCAATAGGAGCGGGTGTAGTGGTTCACACCTATAATCTCAGCACTTTGGGAGGCTGAGGTGGGAGGATCTCATGAGCCCAGAGGTTAGAGATCTGCCTGGCAGCATAGTGAGACACCATTTCTACAAAAAATTTAAGAATTAGGGCCAGGTGCGGTGGCTCACGCCTGTAATCCCAGAACTTTGGGAGGCCAAGGCAGGCAGATCACAAGGTCAGGAGTTCAAGACCAGCCTGGCCACCATGGTGAAACCCCGTCTCTATTGAAAACACAAAATGCTGGCTGTGGTGGCGCATGCCTGTAATCTCAGCTATACAGGAGGCTGAGGCAGGAGAATCGCTTGAACCCAGAAGGCGGAGGTTGCAGTGAGACGATATCATAACCACTGCACTACAGTCTGGGCGACAGAGCGAGATTGTCTAAAAAAAAAAAAAAATAGCAAGACATGGTGGCACACCTGTGGTCCCAGCTACTGGGGAGGTGGGTGACATGCTGAAGTGGAAGGATAACTTGAGCCCAGGAGTTCGAGGCTGCTGTGAGTGGTGATCGCACCACGGCACTCCAGCCTGAGCAATAATTCGAGACCCTATCTAAAAAAAAAAAAGAAAAGAAATAAAATTCAATATCCATTCATGATTTTAATATATATGTAGGTAAACTAGAAATGGAGATAAATTTTCTTAAACCAATAATGTGTGAAATAGTAGAAGCATTCTTTATAAAATCAGCAAAGAGATGAGGATACTCACTATTACTGTTTTTATTCAATATTGTGCTGGAGGGCCTAACTGGAAATGTAAG